CGCCGTGCGTGAATTTACGCAGTGCGTGAATTTACGCAGCGTTCCTTGCCATTTCATGAGTACCAAGGAAGAACTCGTCAAAGGAGTTGAGCGGCTGAAGGGAACTGCCAAAGGCATAGACCTTGCAAGCTTCATCGCTGAATACCGCCGCCTGGCCAAGCAAGCGAGGTGTGTGGGAATCGCTGTGGGACGAATTTGAGGGGAATTCTTGCTAAGCGCTGTGTGGCGGGTCGCTGGGCAGCTGTTACTTTGTTCCAAACATGGAAAAGTGGAGCTCGCTCCCAGGCAGCTTCGCAGTGAAAGTCGCGGAAAAGCTGGATTTCCAGCTAGAGAGTCTAGCGAGCAAACCGCAAGAGGATAACGACGATGAGGAGTAGCACTGAGGGCACGTAAGCTGCAGTGGCAACAGTCAATAAATGTCAATAATGTATGATAAAATTCACCAATTGGTGTGTGCAAATCAGATACTGTCACTGTGTTCAGTACTTGTAGCTTACAGCGGCAAGGCTCCCTCCAGAAGACCCAGTTTCCCTCCTGAAAGGAGGACTACTACATCAAGCGACCGAGTGTTTAAAGCGGGTCAGGTTCTGAATTTGCCCATTTGCTTCCTGTGCATGCGTTTCACTTCACCCATTTTTCTTTTGCACAGAGCATATCCCCCAAAGAAAGCTTTCAAGACCATCCTTGTACAGTAGTTCTCTTGAGCAAGGCGTGATATAGAAACGCTTCTATCGTGTACTGCTTGCTTGCGGCTGACGAGGGCTTTCAGCTTGGGGTTCCCGCGATGATGCAAGATGTGGAGCAGAATGCCAGTCCCACCAGTTGTTTGCAATTGACTGTCGATGGGGCAGACTTGAGCAGTAAGAGCAGGTGGTCAAACAGTTCCATCAGATTTGTTTACATCAGAAATACCTGTACTCTATTGCGTTGTGTTTGTTGATTTTGTCAGAGTCACCTGTCGACATGTCATTGTCTCACTGACTGCTGCCCGCCACTGGCGCCTAGCTTTTGCCAAAGCAGCTGAGTCTCTCCGGTCGCTTCGCACAGGGAACTAGCAATTGAGAAGGAAAACGGGACAGCCGACTTAGTTGCGGTCCGGGGCTGTAGCTCTTGTCCTACCATATACTGTAATACCACACATACATACGCATATGTATATCATGCATATAATACTTATTACTACATATTTATTTGAGAGGCTTACTTTCCGGGGCTTACCGCCTAGCTTGCAATCGTGCTCCAGGTCTCAAGTGTGGTGTCCCATGGGGTCCCGTGTTCCTTGGGGTCCTCAGAGCCGGATTCTCCGTGGACGTTTCCCTGCTAAGGAGAGTAGCTTCTCCAGTGCAGCGAGAGGTGGCGATGTTATGATGTTTATAATGGCTATGATTTGTGAAGTGGTGGAGTGTAGGGTGGTGAGAGTAGCTCAGTGGTCAGCCAGCTGAATGCTAACAAGCGGCAAAGCATAAACACCTCAGCATGGTGCCCCGTGTTCGTCACGCTGGAATGCATGCCCGCCGGGATCAACATGGATCCACTATCCAGTCCTCGCGGCAACTCGCCGTCAAGCTAACAGCTAACACCAAGCTTTTGGAGGCTAGTTTGTGCAGACACGATGGCAAAATCATTTTGGCAAGCTACGCGCATGATTTGGACACTACAATTGCATTCCATGTAGCTGCGCCAGCATGTCCGCCAGGATGCGTTCCCCGGCAGAAACCGGAAAGCAACAACGCAGCGGCCCTTGCTCCCCATCACGTCATTGCTTGTCAAAACAACATGTTCTTAATGCCACTTCCTGGATAACGCAGCATGTGCAGCATATCATTGCAACGGGCGTTTGCTCACGCGCTTCACCCGCAATCTCGCTTGAGTTCTTGTTATTTATGTTTTTCCCCAAGGACCGACTAATTATCCGGTTTGTCAGATGTTTTTTTGCCAGCTGTTTCGTATGTCTTCGAACAACTAGCCGAGTCTAGTTACTCCAGTTGCCAATGGTAATTGCAATTCGGAGGTTTCCTTCTATATAACTTTCTTCCCACTTGTTTTCTTTGATTCCTCGGTTCGCAGGAACCGCATTTAGTCAACATACTGTCTGTCAAAATGCCTACGGAGCACAAAGTAAAGCTAAACAACAGAACAAGTACATGACACGCACAGTTGAGTGTTCTCCTCTTGTGGCCGCCGGATCCGGCCACGCCATCCAGCCAGGCGATTTAAAACCACACAGTGGGGCCACACAGTGGGACCATTTGGCCCAAAACCCATGGCTTCCAAAAGCAAATGAAGAAACAAATAAAACATGATAAAACCAGCTTCTTGAAAGTGACCTTTTTGGAGTCCCTGTTGTCAAGAAAGGTGGATCAAGTTGGATCCCTTCAAAGAGAACCCGCTGTGCCACGAAAGGTTGGTTCTACGATCAGCATCTACCTCTGATGTTCCAAGGCTCCTAAATTGGGTGAATGTGAGTGCTTTTCTGTGTGTTTTCCACTTGCCTGCGGCGAACCGATGTTTGCAGTTCTCAATGCCGTCATTCATTGCTCCTCGGCATTGTTGCCTCTCCTCACCATTGTTGCCAATGCCGTCTTTGGAGGGGGCAACGGCAAACAGACACCCACGCCCCATAGGAAACGGTGTGCTTGTGACAGTCTTGATCCTGATCTGCTGGCAGCTCCTCGTTACCCGCATGAAGCGATGACATCGCCAACGCTTCCACCCTTGCTTGGGCTGCATTGTCTGGCAGCCCTCCAACCCCAACAGCTCTGGCCACACGAGACAGCGCGGGGACATGTTGCACGCGGAAAGGATTCCTAGTGCCTCTTGGGCGTGAGTTTGGAAGCTTCTCTGACAGAAGCCGTCCTGAAAAACGCAGCTTACCTCAAAACCTTTGATCCAGGAGATGACCACGGGAAGTGTCTGAAGTAATTAGGTGGCAGTGTGGAGAGAAAAACACGCGGAAATTCCAGAATGCTCAAATTTCAGCATGTTCAATGGCCGACCGGCTGCGGCAGTGGATCAGAATGATCAATTACTACACGTCTCGATCGCGACATCGCCACAGGACGCAGGCAAATGAAAGATTATCTTCCCTCCGGAAGCAGCGATTAGCCTCTTCTCGTGCCTGGGTGGGCTGTGACCAAAGAGCTTCCCAAACGCTGGGGTACTGGCATGGATTGGCCTAAAGTTCTAAATATTGTTGTTTAATATTTGTCGATGGCATCCCACTACACAATACCCATCAATACCCCATGCATGCAATACCACACAAATATAGATTTACACAATTGGCCAAGCTTCGTTTGTGGCTTCGTCTACGTATCCAATCATGACAATCATGGACCAGTTCTTCCGCAGATGTGTTGTGAGTGCGTTGCCTCGATTCAATCCAGTCGAGCAAGTATAGGGTGTGCAATATATATATATAGGTTTCTAATAAATTGTTAACTATCATAACAACCGCCTACCAAACTCATGAAGCAGATTACAATATATAAATCAATTGTAAAACATACAATATAAAGACAGCAAAGCCACTTTAAACTTGTGATTCCATGCAGTAGGGTTTTCGGTTTTGGCAGACCCACCAGACCCGCAGCCACATGGGACCGGACTGGCGACTGGCCCAAAATGAGCTCCGGAGATCGGTCCCGCTCCGGAAATGGGTGTAGTTTGTTGCTAGTAGCTTCTTGCTACTAGTAGTAATGGCCTCCAACCCAATAGCAATGGCCTCCAACCTAGTATCTTCTTGCTACTAGTCCTTTTGAACTCAGATGGTGTTCTTTTTCTTCCTCAGCGGGTGACACACACCTGCAACAACGTCCCACATGAAGAGGTGACATCATGGATCATGGATGATCATCGCCGCCATTCTGCTGTTCTATTTTGCGCGAGCTTCGCCGACTCAGCTTCGCCTTGGCTGAGAACAAGGTGCGCCGCAACGTTAAGACTCGGGTTCTCCAAAAACCACAGGACATTTCAAGAAACATGTCTACAATAGAAAAGCCAAGAGGTGCGTCCAGATCCGTGTCCAGCCTTTATGTATCTTTATGTTTTTGGTACACTTTCGGAAATTCGTACCTTGAAGCTGATGTAGCTGTAGGTCAACAACATGTTTCGGCCTCAGTGTGCTTCAGATCAGGCATGCATGCATTGTTTGTTTAATAGATGTGAAACAAACACCACAATGGACCGCCATTGTTGGTGACTTGGGCAAAACACGGACTCAAGTAACTCAAGTACGAATGCTGTGCCGTACAACTTGTTGGTTTGGATCGACGGAATTGATAAATTCCATGCTGTTTGCACCAAAGAAGTTAGCGGTGAAGACCATGCAACACCCTCGCACTGTGTTGTGACTGCTCAGGCTTCATGCCACACGCTTAATCACGGTTTCCTTGCAAGTGCGCACACATAAGAAACACATTCAAGACATATGTTAGAAAAGCTTGTCCCTTTCACATTGGGCTTTGCAAGATTATGGGGCCGCAAAAGTGGCTGCGCTGCATATCCAAGAATAAGATAAGAAGCACAGGTTTTGGGCCCCCTCTCATTTGTTTGACCTCCCAAATCCACTACGTCCCATAGTGCAGACTGACTTTTATACACGCCAATATAACATTGATTAGAGCAACTACGTTAGCAACGCCGGCCGTCCCACTCACTTTTTCCTTTCTTCATTCAATGCTTTTTTTCTATTGGTTGAGTCCCCATAGCGCTTACCATTTGCCATATTTATGTTGTTCTGATCTCCCATGAGTTTCATGTTGGTGACTTTTCACATAACCAGTTGAAATGCGTGAGATATAGATGAACTACGCGAACTAGCCGCGCACCTATTCTCAGTTGAGGCACGGTGATATCACATCTATTGCCTTGGGCTTTGTTTTGCAGCCAGTGCCCCTCATCAGCACTTAGTGCTGCTGCGTTTTGCCGTGTAGGCATAGATAGATAGATAGATAGATAGATAGATGTGTGCAGGATTTTTTGAACTTTTGCCGCTTTTGAGCCACTGTGGAGCAAAGTTTAGTAGGTTCCGTCATTCGTCGTGGCCATCCATCGACCTACCCATGGGAGACAGTGGGCAAAATGGAAAGAAGAAGGCCAGAGATAGCAGCTCAGAAAGTGGGACCCCAGATTGGCTCAAAAAGCGCCGGGAGAAACAATCTCGTGGTGAGCTCAAAGAGGATCGTGGAATGATGGGAGGAGAGAAAGGAGAGAAGGGCGACAAGGGTGGCAAGGGCGGCGGAAAGGAACCCAGGCCAGGGGATTGGAAATGCCCCAGCTGTGGCAGTAACAACTTTGCAAGAAGGACCGAGTGCTTCAAATGCGGCACAAAGAAGCCGGCCGAGGGGAAAGGTCGCAGAGACTCTCGCTCTCGTTCTCGTGGCAGACGGTGAGATGGTGCTGACTGGGCACCTGGCTACTTCCACGAAGTCTCGTCGAAGCCAAACAAGCCTTGCTGAGTTGGTCACCAGTGGGCTTACCATTTGTTCGATGGGAGTCTCGATGGAATGAAAGCACCAAAGTTGTCCAACAGGGTGAAAAAGGCACCTTGTCATAGAAAAACATGTACATTAGTAAGGATCATTAAATGGCCTGGATGCCTCCGATGCGAAAAAGACGAAAAAGATCGCCTTTCACCTTTGCACCACTTGCTATGCAACATGAAATAGGCTTTTGATTGCACATCTGAACGGGCCTGCTCCAGGTACAGCTGTGATGCTTGAGATGAGGCGTGGAAGAGCTTCGTGTCGACGAGGGTGGCAGTCATTTTGACTGACCTCACCTGGCATCAATGTGTAAAGCCAGTTGGCCGCCAGAACACCAAACTTGAACAATCTTGAACAGACATTGAACCAAGTCATTCTCCTCCACTCACTCCTTTTCGCTGTAACCAGGAGGCACTTGCTGTCACAAGTCAGAAAGAGTCAAGGTGTTCCTGCAGTCAAGGTCATGTGCTGGCATGTGCCGCATTGTCCTACATCAAATTTATATACTGTACTTACCCCATCTTACCCCAAGACAGCTTGGCGCCAGGAATTCAACCGCTTAGTGCTGAAATTTCTTTGGAGCAACAATGCAAAGATGGGACACCGATAGAGTTTCACAGATTTAGCAGCTAAGCAGCGTCCTGCCTCGTGCCATGGGAAACACGAGCGCCAAAGACACGGAGATGGTGATATGCAATAGAGGTGTGCACGAGTGTTCATTTCCGATGTATGTCGTCAAGGTTTCAGACTTTCTGGAGATGGAGGGTCCACCTGAACCACATCATGTCTTGCAGCAAAAAGGTTTGCTTCACAAATGGCAACCAGGAATGTTTGCGATGTTCATCTCGCATCAGTGGTTGGGTGCCAAATCTCCAGACCCCTTTGGGCAGCAGGTGACAGTGCTGCGGCATGCTCTGCGGGCATTTATCGATGGATCCATGAAGGTGGAGGTGGATCTCATGCGCACTTTTGGCGATCCCAACGTGTCCACTTCGACTCAGCGGGTAGCTGATGGATATCTTTTCTTGGATTGGTTTGCAATCCCACAGATTACTGAAAGAAGCGATAGTGTCAAGGATGATGCGTCAATGTCAAACACGGCTCAAGCTGTGCAGAGCATTCCAGCCTATGTAGAAGCTTGTGATATGTTCCTGGCACTCGTGCCGGACTTAACTCACAGTGCTACTGGTGTTCAATGCAACTACAGCACGTGGCTTTCGAGGGGCTGGTGTAGGGCAGAGCTTTGGTGCCGCTTGCTCTCAAATCGAGAGGACACCAGTGTGATTGTGATCTTCTCAGCCCGAGAGGCGCTCTACATTTTGCCTTTGGATTGGCAAAGAAGCCTGATTTCAGACGGCTTGTTCACTGTGGAAGAAGATCGTGCCGTGGTGGTGAAACTTGGAGAGGCAGCAGTGAATAGTAAGATTGAGCACCTTTCGAAGTGGGGACCTTTGGTGGACTATCGCTTCCACCTAGCTCAGCAGCCCAAGTTGCTAAAGCAAGCGAAGGAAGCTTGGGATCTGCAGGGTTTCTTGCGACACTTCGATTTCCCTACTGTTGACGCGGCAGTGAAGCATGAAAGTGGTATGACTGGCATGTTATGTGCAATGTTTGCAGGTGATGTGGACATGTTGCACACCTTGGTGGAACATGCTGCAGACGTGAATGCTCGTGTCAGTGGTCTCGGACACTTGGGCTTCTATGATTCAAACACGCTGCTTATGGTTGCCGCCTATAGCGGCCAAGATCCCAAGATGCTGTCTGCCCTCATGAAATGTCATGCAGACCCCAATGTGGCCTGTGTTTCTGATACAGGCTCAATTGTGAATGCATCATGGTGTGCAACTCATCCTGGGCATGTGAAGGTGTTGCTGGAACAGCGTGCCGACTTTGAGACGTCGCCACCATTGACAGGTGTTGCAGGAATTGCCTCTGTCGAAACCGTGCAGGCCTTTTTGGAGGCCAGGTGTGACCCAAGCAGTCTCGGCCCAAATGGTTTCGGTCCAATGTACAGTGCACCCTTTTTTGGTCGTGGCAATCCACACGCATGCGACATCATGCAACTGCTCTTGTCCTACAGTGGTGATGTCAATGCTCAGGCCAAACCACATGGACTCTTATACTGGGATTGTTTGAAGGCGCGGTTTGCTGCTAAGCTTTGGGGTCTCGAAGGGTGTGGTGTGTACCAGCGTCAAATGGCTGCTCTTCCCGGGGCTACGCCTCTGTCGCTTGCAGCAGTGATGGGAGATAAGGCGCTGGTGACGCTCCTCCTGGATAACGATGCCGAACATATTGCCAATGATCGCGGAGATACACCAGAAGACTTGGCAAGGGCAGCAGGTCATAGCGAATTGCTGCCCATTCTCTCAACCTTTTTTGTGTAGCACTAGCCGAGTTGTGGCCCTGACCGGTGGCGCTAAATGGCGCTTGATCCGGAACTGGAGGTAAAGAGGAAACGCAGACCAGGAAGCGGGTCTGGATATCCGCCATCCAAAAAAGAAAACAGACATGCAAACTCTTCAGTCGGCGCAAGAGCTTCAAACCAGCTTCATGCTCATGGTGAGCAGCTAGGGCTTGTTTGGTGTTGTGACATGTTGTGACCACAGTTGAGGTGCATTTGCTGTCCCTGGCCGACAAGCAAAACACATCGGGGCCCTGTGAGTGTGCATGCAGGAGAGAAGATTGGGTGGAAATGTGCGTTGAGAAACCATGGCAACTGTATAGAAGCCAACTATATCTCCAACATCCAATAGGTCGCGTGCAAACAGTCTGCAGGTCGGATTGGAAGCACACGTTCAAGCTTTACAAACTTCTCAGTGCGCGTAGAGCCTTTGTCGACGCTCTGACACGTTTGGGTATGAGGTCCGAAGCCACCACTGGCAAACGTAGCACCACAACAACCCATTCACTTCTCCTTCATGGTTTCGTGCAGTGATTGGCTTCCGAACGTTACGTAACATCCCAACCCACCCCACCCCACTCTCAGTCACTCGTATTGTGTGCGTAGCGTAGAAGGGTTTCTTCTGTGTGGGTGTGCAAATTGAACGCGCCATCCGACCAAAACCGACGGAATCGTGGAACAATTCTGAAGTCGTAAATACAGTGTGTTTTACATCGACCGACGAAAACACGCGCCGGCAAATACGTGTATTTTCCGCGACAAATTCCGAAAAGAAACAGTAACTATCCCAAATACGCGCAAATGAAGTATGAAAGTACACGCGAGGTTAAAACACGCACAGTCTTAAATAAACCCGTCTGCCTATATTTATATGTAGAAGGTGGGCTCGGGTCCACTTTACTCAGACCGCTCATGCTCATTATTTTCGATATGTTCTATTTTGTTGATCTATTTTCCATGTCTCTTTCTGTGTTACAACTTGATGCTTCAACCTTGCACGGCCCAAGGCCTCGGAAGCAGTGTAGGCGTGGTTAAGCCCGTGGGGCCCGTTGTCCTGGTAGGGCTCTGGTGCGTTCTCGAATTTTCAATGTGGTTTTAAAGATTTGTTTAAAACCAATGTTTTTTGTCCATCAATTTCTGTCTTCCAATCGCTGCATCGTAGCAGCTACTGTACAAAACATCATCCTTCTTGCCAATTCAGCCGTTTCATCAAGGTCATCAGCTTTTGTTAGAGTTGTCCGCTTGCAGGAGCTCTCATAGAATTGAGTTAGTTCGGCGAGAGGCGGGCAACAATGTGTAAAGCCAGCTGGCCGCCAGAACACCAAACTTGAACGGACATTGAACAACTTGGTGACATCATTCTCCGCTCACTCCTTTTCGCTGTAACCAGGAGGCACGTGCTGTCACAAGTCAGAAAGAGTCAAGGTGTTCCTGCGGTCAAGGTCATGTGCTGGCATGTGCCGCATTGTCCTACATCAAATTTATATACTGTACTTACCCCATCTTACCCCAAGACAGCTTGGCGCCCGGAATTCAACCGCTTAGTGCTGAAATTTCTTTGGAGCAACAATGCAAAGATGGGACACCGATAGAGTTTCACAGATTTAGCAGCTAAGCAGCGTCCTGCTTCGTGCCATGGGAAACACGAGCGCCAAAGACACGGAGATGGTGATATGCAATAGAGGTGTGCACGAGTGTTCATTTCCGATGTATGTCGTCAAGGTTTCAGACTTTCTGGAGATGGAGGGTCCACCTGAACCACATCATGTCTTGCAGCAAAAAGGTTTGCTTCACAAATGGCAACCAGGAATGTTTGCGATGTTCATCTCGCATCAGTGGCTGGGTGCCAAATCTCCAGACCCCTTTGGGCAGCAGGTGACAGTGCTGCGGCATGCGCTGCAGGCATTTATTGATGGATCCATGAAGGTGGAGGTGGATCTCATGCGCACTTTTGGCGATCCCAACGTGTCCACTTCGACTCAGCGGGTAGCTGATGGATATCTTTTCTTGGATTGGTTTGCAATCCCACAGATTACTGAAAGAAGCGATAGTGTCAAGGATGATGCGTCAATGTCAAACACCGCTCAAGCTGTGCAGAGCATTCCAGCCTATGTAGAAGCCTGTGATATGTTCCTGGCACTCGTGCCGGACTTAACTCACAGTGCTACTGGTGTTCAATGCAACTACAGCACGTGGCTTTCGAGGGGCTGGTGTAGGGCAGAGCTTTGGTGCCGCTTGCTCTCCAATCGAGAGGACACCAGTGTGATTGTGATCTTCTCAGCCCGAGAGGCGCTCTACATTTTGCCTTTGGATTGGCAAAGAAGCCTGATTTCAGACGGCTTGTTCACTGTGGAAGAAGATCGTGCCGTGGTGGTGAAACTTGGAGAGGCAGCAGTGAATAGTAAGATTGAGCACCTTTCGAAGTGGGGACCTTTGGTGGACTATCGCTTCCACCTAGCTCAGCAGCCCAAGTTGCTAAAGCAAGCGAAGGAAGCTTGGGATCTGCAGGGTTTCTTGCGGCACTTCGATTTCCCTACTGTTGACGCGGCAGTGAAGCATGAAAGTGGTATGACTGGCATGTTGTGTGCAATGTTTGCAGGTGATGTGGACATGTTGCACACCTTGGTGGAACATGCTGCAGACGTGAATGCTCGTGTCAGTGGTCTCGGACACTTGGGCTTCTATGATTCAAACACGCTGCTTATGGTTGCCGCCTATAGTGGCCAAGATCCCAAGATGCTGTCTGCCCTTATGAGGTGTCATGCAGACCCCAATGTGGCCTGTGTTTCTGATACAGGCTCAATTGTGAATGCATCATGGTTGGCAACTCATCCTGGGCATGTGAAGGTGTTGCTGGAACAGCGTGCCGACTTTGAGACGTCGCCACCATTGACAGGTGTTGCAGGAATTGCCTCTGTCGAAACCGTGCAGGCTTTTTTGGAGGCCAGGTGTGACCCAAGCAGTCTCGGCCCATATGGTTTCGGTCCAATGTACAGTGCACCCTGTTTTGGTCGTGGCAATCCACATGCATGCGACATCATGCAACTGCTCTTGTCCTACAGTGGTGATGTCAATGCTCAGGCCAAACCACATGGACTCTTATACTGGGATTGTTTGAAGGCGCGGTTTGCTGCTAAGCTTTGGGGTCTCGAAGGGTGTGGTGTGTACCAGCGTCAAATGGCTGCTCTTCCCGGGGCTACGCCTCTGTCGCTTGCAGCAGTGATGGGAGATAAGGCGCTGGTGACGCTCCTCCTGGATAACGATGCCGAACATATTGCCAATGATCGCGGAGATACACCAGAAGACTTGGCAAGGGCAGCAGGTCATAGCGAATTGCTGCCCATTCTCTCAACCTTTTTTGTGTAGCACTAGCCGAGTTGTGGCCCTGACCGGTGGCGCTAAATGGCGCTTGACCCGGAACTGGAAGTAAAGAGGAAATGCAGACCAGGAAGCGGTCTGGATATCCGCCATCCAACAAAGAAAACAGACATGCAAACTCTTCAGTCGGCGCAAGAGCTTCAAACCAGCTTCATGCTCATGGTGAGCAGCTAGGGCTTGTTTGGTGTTGTGACATGTTGTGACCACAGTTGAGGTGCATTTGCTGTCCCTGGCCGACAAGCAAAACAAATCGGGGCCCTGTGAGTGTGCACGCAGGAGAGAAGATTGGGTGGAAATGTGCGTTGAGAAACCATAGCAACTTTGAGATAGTATTACAGATATTACAGTAGAGCACGGTGGACTTGGGCCCCTCTATCTGTCTATCTATCTATCTATCTATCTATGTATATCTATATATATAGTAGTGTTGACATACGCCTACCCAAACGCACCTTTTCAGAGCGGTGCCGATTCTCACCACATAGCATTGCGGCACAGAGGAACAAGGTCCGCATAGCTGCATAGCTTAACGGTATTTTGACTAGTTTTCAGTGGCTGAACCTGAAATGCAGGTTATCAGCCGTAGCCTTTGCCATGGCTACACCGGCGCTCAACAACCGGCCGCCGGCGGCGACCTCGTGCCCGAGGACGTTGTTATGGGATCAGAGGGTGTGCAGCGTAATTTCAGTTCATCCAGAACAACCTTCAGCACATTGCATCAGGCAACGAAGATGCTGTCTCCGTGAAGCAGAACAGCGGCGTCAGGAGATCATGCAGACCACCATCGGCACCTTATGTAGTCAGTGCCAGCTCGCAATAGAGCCAACCTGCCATTGAGAAACGGAGCCGGCGCAGCAGCAGCCAGTGCCAACTGTGCCCGCGCAGCCAGAGAACGCTGGCCGCGAGGTCAAGCCCAAAGCCAGTGAAGCAAGCATCGGCTGGAAGGCGCGACTTGGTGCAAAGTTCGCTGAGAAGTTAGATGGAATCTTCACCGTGCGAATTTCGCCTGGTTTTGGAACTCCTGCAGGTGGTGACACCGGCTGGGACAAAGAGAAGGAACTGTTCGTTGATGCCCGTGAACATCTAGATGAAAAGGTTTCGAGTGCAGGTGATGGAGCAGATGATGGCAAAGTAATCCCAACATGTCCCAATTGCCTTGGGTACTGCTTCAGGTGATGCTGGTGCAATCGTTGGCAGTTTGCCTGAGTTGCTCAAAGGGTTGAAGTCCAAAAAGGATGATGAGGTACTATCCAGTTTGTCAGTTAGAGAGCTTGTGAGGTCCTCATCAGATAAGCCAGATGAAGCATGGAAGTGGATCATGGAAGTATGGTGCGGCTAAGGCCAAAGGAGCACAAAGGCCCCCTCATTTTGCAGTGCCACCGAAGGCCGCACCTGTCTGTCACTCAGGTTGCCCCATTCCTGGAACCGGAAGCGGAAGCATCGCCTGTCGGAGCTGGAGTAAACGCAATTGCACCATATTGCACCTTTGACATCAGGGACGTGCCCATTGCCAAGTTTCCGCCAGCGCTAGCATGGCTTGCGTAGATTGTGTATAGAGCAGCATTTTGATTCGTTTTCGCGGTTGAGCCGCGAAGATTTTTTCGCTAGCGTCACAGCTATGTCCTCGTTGTCCTGCTCCATTCGCGCCCTGCTGCGATCGCAGGGGTGTTGAAATACGCGTGGCCCAAACATGCCCAAACATACCTTTTCAGAATGGTGCCGATTCTCACCGCATAGCCTTGTGGCTCAGTGGAATAAGGTCCTTAACGGTATTTAGACCGGCTTTCAGTGGTTGAGCCTGAAAATGCAGGCCTTGGGGTTCACTTTTCTCTCTTAGACCGAGGTTGTCTTTTAAAATAATATAATGCCTCAATGTTTCATTTTTCGATGTGCTTAGTTCTTTCACTTAACTTCCATATCAACCCATTTTGTTTTACTACTTGGTGCTTCAACCTGCAAGGCTCAAGAACTGAGAAGTTACGGCGGTGTCGCCGTGGTAAAGACCCCGCGGGGTCCGTCGTCCTGGTAGGGCAGGGGTGTTTTCTCGAATTTTCAATGTGTTTTAAAGATTGTTTGAAGCTAATCACGAAAGCTAGCCTTAGCTAGCTGGAGTTGCTCTTGCTTTAGCAAGTTAAGTGACGGGGTGGACGCGCCCCAGAAACCTCAAATAATTGATTAAACCCCCCGCGGTTCGACTCCCCCCTGCGCGCGGTGAGCGGGACCACCAAGCAGCTGCAGCACACCATCTGCAGTCTACCGCCAAGCAGCTGCAGCAAACCACAAAGGAGCAGCAGCAGCAGAAGCAGCAGACCCAGAGCAGCAGCAGCAGCAGCAGACCACCCAGCGCCAGCAGCAGCAGCAGCAGACGACCCGGCGCTAGCAGAGCACCCAGCGCAGCAGCGCCCAGCGCAGCAGCGGCAGCAGCAGCAGCAGCAGCAGCAAACACAACAGCAGCAGCGGCCGCAGCAGCAGCAGGAGACGCAGCCAAGGCAGACCACCCAGCAGCAGCAGGAGCTACATTGGACAGTAATACCTTTTTGGGTGCTATGTGCAGACGGCATTTCTTGCATCATAGCCCTACCCCGCGTACGCGACTGGTTGCGGCGCGGAGTCAGGCGGTGTCATTTGAGTCTTGTGCTGCTGCTGCTGCTGGGGGGTCTGCTGCTGCTGCTACTGGGAGGTCTGCTGGTGCTGCTGCTGCTGCTGCGCTGGGTGGGCTGCCGCTGCTGGTGCTGGCGCTGCGTGATCTGCTGCTGCTGCTGCTGCTGGCGCTGGGTGGTCTGCTGCTGCTGCTGCGGCGCTGGGTGGTCTGCTGCTGCTGCTGCTGCTGCTGCTGCGGCGCTGGTTGGTATGCTGCTGCTGCTGCTGCTGCCGCTGGGTGGTCTGCTGCTGCTGCGGCACAGCAACCGCTGGAAAAACCAAGCCAAAGAAGTGATGGAAAGGGGGCACCAAACAAAACCTGCTCCTGTCAGGTGGCAGTTGCTTACTGAATGAGACTCGACGCACCACAAAGCACATACTAACACTGCTTCTCTAGAGTTTCCCACGGGACTTGCAAGTGGACCGGCAGTTACCCAATGAGAGTGACTGTGCAGCCCGCCCCCGACTTGTTTGGACGAGGAGGCCCGGCTAGCTTTCGTTCACCCCCTCTGGCCACAAGTTTTTTTGTCCATCATTTTCTGTCTTCCAATGCTTGCATTGCAGCAGCTGCTGTACCAAGCATCATCCTTTTGCGAATTTAGCCGTTGCATCAAGGTCATCAGTTTTCGCTAACGTTTTCCGCTTGCAGGAGCTCATAAAATGGAGTTGCTTCGGCGAGAGGCGGGCTCAAATAAGTCATTTGGACTAACGTTGCTGAACCAACTGGACATAGAATGGCTGACCCAGCTCGTGCACATCTTGACTGCCTACGTGTAACAAACTGACCGAATGGCTAGCAACAACAAAAAGTGCAAATCCCAAATCCTTTGAGGATTCTTGGCCGCCTCAGTCTTTCTTTTCAAGTTGTGTGCTGCAAATTCACAGTTGGTTGAGGGAAAGGACATCAGGTCTCGAGGTGTATAGTATATATAGAGAGTGTGAAATGTTCAGAAACACTTCTTGCTGGGTTGATTTCTTTGTGCCCACATCGATACAACCTCGTTCTTGAGACCCATGTGCCCTTCGCCTTGTGCGCTGCAGTGGCGAGTTGCAGTCACAAGGTGCCCATGAATAGAGAGTTCATGTGAGTTCTCAGGGGTGTGGGCTTTGCAAGGTTCAGTTCAGGGGTCAGTGTGCCACCAAAGATCTAATGCCGCTGCTGGAATCTAATAGTCTTGGAAACATAAATGATTGGCAGAATGTGGTTGTCATGCAGCCATCCTGTGTATAACGATCTGGGATTCAAGCCTCTTTCAGCATTCACTCGCCGACTGAGAGAGGTGCGAGAGCCTCAGTGTGCAACTCAACGCGGCCATGCCGTCCACGCGCGCCAGCGTCAAAGTGTGTGTCTTTGGTTCTGGAACTTTTGGGACTGCCCTGGGAAGCGTTATTGCGCGCAATGGTTTCACAGTGACCATTCTTTGCAGACGTGAAGAGGTTGCAAACAGCATCAACACTCAACACAGGAATCCTAGCCATTTATCTGAGTGCAAGCTTCCACCCCTGCTTTCTGCAACAACATGCCCAGAAGAGGCCTTGAAAGGAGTAGCCTTCATCGTCCACAGTGTGCCAGTTCAGGCCTCCGAAGGTTTTTTGAAGCCACTGAAAGATTTGATCCCTGCAGATGTGCCCCTGATATCAAGCTCCAAAGGCATCCACTCAGAAACGCTGGAGACCATGGCTGAGCTGGTTCCCCGAGTCTTGGGGCGTCCACAAGTCATGGCTTTTTTGAGTGGCCCTACCTTTGCCAAAGAGTTGATGGACGAAATTCCAAGTGCTGCCGTAGTTGCAGCAGAAGAACCTGCAGTAGCTGAGAGTTGCTCTGACCTCTTTCACTGCACCGTCTTCAAAACTTACACTACTACAGATGTCACTGGAGTTGAGGTGGGTGGAGCTTTGAAGAATGTCTACGCACTTGCAGCAGGAACTCTAGAAGGTATGGGCCTGGGTGTCAACACAGCGGCTTTCCTGGTGACCCGTGCTTGTGTTGAGATGAACATGTTGGCACTGGCCATGGGAGCAAAGCCCCACACCATGGTGGGCCTTGCTGGCATTGGAGATCTGATGCTCACGTGCCTGGGGGGTGCCTCCCGCAACAAGGCAGTGGGTGCACGCATTGGCCAGGGCGAGTCGCTGGCCTCGGTGCTCCAATCCCGGCAGCAATCCTTGGCCGGTGTGGCTGAGGGTGTGGCCACAGCCCCTGCAGCCTTGAGATTGGCCCAGCGTCACCAAGTCCCCGTGCCCATCATCGATGCTGTAGCCTCCGTCATTGATGGTGCTGCTGGACCAAGGGAGGCAGTGCTCAGCTTGATGCAGCGTCCGAAGGGTGAAGATTTTGCTGCTCATGTTCTGCATGGAGCAGAGAAGCAGCTTGAGCGTAGTGTGTCACCACTTGGAGTCCGGCCGAAGTATTGGGCCTTTCTGGCCATTGGCCAAGCCTCATTGATCACAGTACTTCTCCTTTGGTCTGTTCGACGACGAAGCTAGAATAGTTCAGAAGTTCAGATATGCTCAGATTCTGTTGAGCCACGCCTATGTACAGATGGCTCCAGCGGGAGCCCAGCGCTTAATCTTGTTCTCACCCGCATGCCTTGCTCAAAGAGTACAGCACATAGATGCGAGGTGCTGGTGTCTCAGCGACACTCACATAAATGTTGCAAATGTAGAGTCATTGTTTCCAAGCTTTCAAACGTGCGAGAATAGATGAGAATAGAAAAGTTTGACATTGGAGACAATCACTGCACAAGTGCATCCCACAGACAAGCAGAACATGTTGACTTCTGCCCCATTGTTGGTTCACCCATTGAGCTGTGGGATGTTTAATTGGACGGGTTGGACGTGGGGCTCCTCTGCTCAGCTTTGCGAAGGATCACCTAAAGCAGCTCCTGCTTGCAGAAGCGTGTCCGGCGCCCTAAGAAAAACCGAGCATTACCTAAATTGAGTTCTTCCTGTCAAACAGCGCGGCCCAGCTCAACGAAAGACTTGTGAACTCGGTTGCTTTTTGATCGGGGACGCATTCATTTCAATGGGTCCTGGTAAGAAGCTTCTACATGGCACAAAACGACGGTATTTACACGGGTTTGTGCACCTTCCCGGCACAAAACCCCGTAAATTGCGATGGTTTTGGCCTATGTACGCTTCAAAGTGGCCACAAAACACCGTAAATACCAGTGTTTTCAGCTCCTCCAGTCTTCAAGAGTGGCCTCAAATTACGCTATTTACATATTTTTTGTGGCGGCTCGGCAGAGAAACGCGTAAAAGCCGATGGTTTTTGAAGTGTTTAGGCTTCAAAAATGGTCGAAAAATTGCCAAAAACCTGGACAGATTGTGTTCGAAAGGGTTTTTTTTTCGGCTTTTGGAGATTTCCAATTGGCCAAACATAACGGTAATCTGGAAAGTGCCGGATACTTATAATTCCCTACTTTTCATTCATCCTTTCTCCTTCAAATACTTTGATTATCGAAATCTAAGAAACGATTTTTTTAGGGTACCAAAAAAAAGAAACAAAGAAAATGAAGAAAATAATATACGATAAAAAATTACGAAATATATATTTTAATATTTCTAAAATATAGATATTATATATTATATATATGATTTAAAAATTATCTATATACATATATTTTTTAAAATATATATAATATTTATATATTTTTTGAATATATATATGATATATTATATTTTATATGCATATAAAATTTAATGAAATAATAATTTATTATTGTTATTTATTTAAATAATTAAAACATATAAAAACATATATTAATATAGAATTAAAATAAATTATTTAATTTTAATATATATTAATAGAAACATATTGTATTATATATTTTATTATTTTTGATATTATAATGAATATATTTATTACTAATAATTTATAAATATGTCATGTTGAATGATTTTTATTAAAAATTAAAGATATAAAAATTTAATTATAAATATTATTTATAAAATTAATTATTTATAATTTATGAAAAATTTAATATAAACTAGGTTTTATTATTTTAAAATATTTTTATTTAATTTTTTAAATTGAACATATTTAATTTAATCTATATATATTATATAATGCAAAATATATTATTAAATATATTAAAATATATATAAAAAACTTAAATATATAATAAATATATTTGTGCATTTATTAATATTTATTCGTATATACGTTTATTTATTTTTATTATTCGTTTTTCTTTTTTTTTTTTTTTTTTAATTTTTTTATATTTGTGGGTTTTTTGACAAAAGAATATTCGATAAATATATCCAATTAATACGTTTAAAAAATTCTATAAAAATATTTCAAATTTTATTAAAATTTTCTATATATTAAATATATTTCTAAAAATACAAAAATATTTTTTAAAAATACGTAATAAATCCATAAAATATATTTAAAATATATTCTTAAAATTCCCAATTTTTATTATATTTATATTTAAGATATAAAATATTAAACATAAAACTACAAAATTCGGAAATATATTAATATAAACATATAAATAAATATTAAAATATAATTCTCAAAATATTTTTATTAATCCAAAAAATTTAACAAAAATTATATAATAACATCTAAAATAATATAAAAAATATTTTTTTTTTTTAATCTTTTAAAAATAATTTTTTATATTTATATATATAATTTTTATATTTATATATTTTATTTAATCTATTTTTACTATATTAAAAATAAGTAAATGTAAATTTAATATAGTTTAATAATATTAAATTTACATTTATATTACAATTAATTTTTAAATTAATTTATATATTCAATTTAATAATATATTTATATATATATATTTTAAAATAAAATATTTAAAAATATATAATCCATACATCTTCTAAATATTATTTTATTCGTCTTAAAAACGAAAAGCCAACAAAACTAATATATTTTCATTTCCCACTCCACAAATTTAAATAAATTTTAATAAACAATATTCCGTTATAATATAAAACAAATCAAAATAATACCTCATTATATCCAATCCTTTTTTATCCAAAAACAATACATCATACCAAATAATATAAATAAAACAAAATATATAATTAATCTAATTTAATATATATATATATAATCGTAAATAAAAACCGCAAATAATTATAACACCAAACCAACATAAAATATAAACACAATTTCGTATTTTTATTGAAAAAAAAAATCCAAATTCTATAATTTCAAATATTATTCAAATCTTTATAGATCTTAAAAATATTGTCACAAATTCTTGATATTTTTAAATTTTCAATATAAATAATAATTCAAATCTAATATAAAATAAGATATACGACGGGCCGGTCCCAATTTGTAAAAAAATCACCGCTTTATACAAAAGAATTTAATGACGTAATATATATATATAGTTATTAATATCAATATATCACACATCAGGCCTTTCTAGATGCTTTCCAATATTTAGAAAATACTATATAATTGTATTACACTTTAAAAAGCCATATCATTTTCAAAAACTACATTGTAGTACGACGGCCTTATCTATCAGTTGAATTGAATGGAGATGTTAAGCTCACAGACATAGTGACTCTATGACAGAACCTAAAGGGTATGTTCAAAGTTTAGGCACGCTTTTCACTCAAACTCTTGAATCGTCAAAGTGATTAAAAATCAAAAAGAGCAGAAATGCAGAAATGTAAGCTAATCGGCTGCAGTGGAACATACAACTATATGCAATCGTGGCATGTACATGCTACTGGTCTGGCGCTACATCTGATTACGCCTCCCGGGCTAAACTCAGGATTAGCGCGTAAGCGAATTACAGTAACTAGCTAGCTAGTAGCCCTTCAGTACATCTTAGTCTCGAAGAAGTGCCTACTCTGGCTCGAGCTGTACACTCTTGTACTGAGCGTCAGCGTGTTTGGCTCGTCCCAAGCCTCGACGGTTTCCCATGGCGATGCCAGCAGAAACGTCCATTGTCACCTCTTTGCTGAGAAACAATCCCCAATCTTTGGCAGTTGGTGCGACTCCAAGCGTCGGACATGCTCCAGAAACAAATTCATTTTAATATTCAGATTCGCCACTGCTAAGGGAGACAGCTCCTTGGCCTAAGACAGCATTGGTTGGCCATGAGCACGCCTATCTCGACACCTGTTGGCGTGCTGGATGCCTGAAGTTCTTTGCCAATCTGTGTGGCGTTACAAGCTGGGCAACCTGACGCATACCCAAACTTCTCCAGATCTTTCTTGGTGATGTGATGTAAAGTCTCTTCCATTTTCTTTTCCTCCCCACTTGGACTTGCAATGACAGGATCTCTTGGGACTATTGCGGCTGGCTCCTCACAGCCTGTGGACCCCAAGCAACGCCTAAATTGACTTGAGGAGTTCGGTCTCCTACCGGTCTCTCGTCGGATGGACTGACCGTGTACACTCGTGTGGGTGTTCCTACTATCTTCTCAGTTGCTTTGTCTTTGACTCCTAGAAAAATGCCTTTTGTCCATTGGGCTTCAAACTTGTGACCTCTTTATTTTGAGGTATCCGGCTGCTTCCCAATGGCAACTTTCCATTCTCTTCCACGACGTCTCGAGCACGGTGCCTTGCCATCTTGCATTTCGTTTGAACGGAAGAACACGGCATTGAGATGGTTTGGAATTTCTGGAACTCCTTCTTGATGTCCTATGCTCTTTCCACGCAGGGACGCCTTGCCATTTTATAGCGCTACTCATGTGTGTTGGAGACTTACGCAATCCTCTGTGGGGTCACTCCTCCTCATTTTATAGCCAGACTCCTTGCGCCGAGGTCAATGCACACCGTTTTATGTCTATGATATGTCTTGCTAGACCCCCAGCCTGGTATATATATATATATAGGAACACCCATCCTCTTGCGCTTGGCTTCACGGACAGCATCCTTGGTTGCAGCGCTGGCAGCTCGAGTCAGCTGCACCTTCTTCTTGCCCTTCTCGCAGCCGTTCTCGGAGGCAGCCGCAACCGAAGTAGTTCGGCTCTTTCTTGCCCGGAGAACAAGACCGGACTTCAGCCTGATCGTCTGCCGTGGGGCCTCGCTCGAGTCCTTCGGCTTGATCTCTGGCTGGCGGAATCGTTCCAAGTGGCCTTGAAGTACTCCTCCTTGGTCTTTCCCTTCTCAGGAGCCTCGGGCGTCTTGGCGATGCGCCTCCGCTTTGGCGTCTTTGGGCCCACTTCATCTTCCTCGTCTTGCTCGGAAACCATCTTCTGCATATGGGTCGTCGTGTAGAAAGGTGACCCTTGCTTGTAGCTCCCAATTGGGGTCTCGCATATTGAAATGCTTGGTGACCTCCTTCAGCCCAAGGGCATGTCTGCGTCAGCTTGCATGCTGTGGAGCATCTTTCGAAGTATGGGACTCCGTTTTCGTCGCTTGGCCGCTTTGATCTTCTTCTGTCGAGTGCGCCAGCCTCTTTGGTCCACTGATTGAGCACTTTCGCAGGACAGCAGTTGATGGCCACCGCCATTCAATTTTATATTCAATCAGCTTCTTCAAGCTCTTCGCCA